GGTGATTCTGATGTGCAGCCAGGTTTGAGAACCACTGGCTTGTTCATTTCATTAAATATTATTTTATTTCTATTTGAAAGATAGGTTCTCGCTCCATGGGCCCGGCTGGAGTGCAGTGGTGCGATCATAGCTCCCTGCAGTCTCGACCTCCTGAGCTCAAGTGATCTTCCCACCTCTGAGTAGCTGGGACTGCAGGTGTGAGCCACTGCATCCAGCCCCACTGGCTTCACAGATGTCACTTTTATTATTATATTTTATTGTTTTGAGACAGAGTCTCGCTCTGTTGCCCAGGCTGGAGTGCAGTGGTGTGCTTGGCTCACTGCAACCTCTGTCTCCTGGGTTTAAGCGATTCTCCTGCCTCAGCCCTCCCCATAGCTGGTATTATAGGCATGTGCCATCATGCCTAGCTAAGGTAGAGACAGGGTTTCACCATGTTGGTCAGGCTGATCTCGAACTCCCGACCTCAAATGATCTGCGTGCCTTGGCCTCCCACCATACCTGGCCTGATGTAACTTTTAAAAGTCCTATTAGGAGCTTTTTTTTTTTTTTTTTTGAGACAGTGGTTTGCTCTTTTTCCCAAGCTGGAGTGCAATAGTGTGATCTCAGTTCACCACACCTCTGCCTTCTGGGTTCAAGTGATTCTCCTGCCTCAGCCTCCCAAGCAGCTGGGACTAAAGGCTAGTGACACCATGCTCGGCTAATTTTTTTAAGATGTTTAGTAGCAACAAAGTTTCACCGTGTTAGCTAGGATGGTCTGGATCTCCTGACCTCATGATCCGCCCCCTCAAAGTGCTGGGATTACAGGCACGAGCCACCGCACCTGGCTGGTCCTATCAGGAGCTTTAAAGAGTCCAAAAGAGTTTAACGGAGAGTCAGAGTTCAGATGTGTGTTCTAGTGGGCCTGCTCGCCGACTGCAGGCTGTCTCTGGGAACTCCTGAGATGGGGACAGCTGTGCCTGGCCTGTCCCGGGAATATGGTCGCACCCACCCATAAGGCTAGGCTCTCCCATTCCCTTTGAGATCCTCTTCTTCCGCTACAACCTTACTTTCCCCTATGTGATCCCTGCCTTCCCCATCTAGAAAAACGTGGAGCGTTCTTTATTTATCTTGCTGCCATCTGGCTCCCACCTTCCCAGAGTCCCAGGGAAGCCTGTTCTTACAGCCTGGGTTCTCTTCCCAGGACCCCAGCCCCTTACGACCACTGAGTCTCCCTCATTATTAATGTGGCCAAGAAATTACCCCACAGGCATTTATATTTTCATGGAGGACCTTTAAGAACAAAACTCTTGGCCCTGGCCCCAAAGCATACACTTGCAGTGGTGAGAATATGATTGGGTCAGTATTCCAGGAAAGCCTATGATACTTTGACACCAAGATGTTTAGAATTACTTGGGTCAGGTATGAGATTTCAGATGGCAGAAATCCTTGTGCAGGCAAAGGCCTTGCAGATAAAGTAGTGCATGGTGGGTGCGGCTTAGCCTTTAGACGGATACACGGTGGCCAGGCTGTGCATTTCTCTGAAGACTATCAGGCCCTTTAGGTTACCTTTGCCTGCTCTCAAGACTGGCTAGGTAATTTGCAGAACCCAGTGCAAAATGAAAATACAGAACCCTTTGTTCAAAAATTATTAAGAATGTCAAGATGGTGTCTGCAGAACGTCAAGCCAAGTGCCAGCCCTTCTGAGCACGGGGCTCCCTGTGACTGCATGGGTCACGTGCCCATGAAGCTGGCCCTGCCTACTGTGGACATGCCAGGAACTGGACATTGAGATTCCCCCCCTTAAAACAATGAGTGCATTAAGTTAGAGGTTGAGAGGAACAGAGACACTCTTACAGTGTTCCGTAGAATCAAAAATGTGGTTTTGGCCGGGTGTGGTGACTCATGCCGGTAATCCCAGCACTTTGGGAGGCCGAGGCAGGCAGATCACGAGGTCAGGAGTTTGAAACCAGCCTAGCCAACATAGTGAAACCCTGTCTCTACTAAAAATACAAAAAAATTAGCCGGGCATGGTGGTGGGTGCCTGTAATCCCAGTACTTGGGAGGCTGAGGCAAGGAGAATCACTTGAACCTGGGAGGTGAATGTTGCAGTGAGCCAAGATCGTGCCATGGCAATAGTACAAGACTCCATCTCAAAAAAAAAAAAAGGTTTCATATGTTTACTTTTCCTTCATTCAAGTGTAGCCCAGATGCCTCTGTGAATGTCTGCAATGGAAGAGTTTTTTTTTTTTTTTCTTTTTGAGACAGAGTCTGCCTCTGTTGCCCAGGCTGGAGTGTAGTGGTGCAGTCTTGGCTCACTGCAATCTCCGCCTCCCGGGTTCAAGTGATTCTCCTACTTCAGCCTCCCGAGTAGCTGAGATCACAGGCGTGAGCCACCACACCCGGGTAATTTTTGTATTTTTAGTATAGATGGGGTTTCACCATCTACCCGCCTTGGCCTCCCAAAGTGCTGGGATTACAGGTGTGAGCCACCATGCCCAGCCGGAAGAGCCTTTTGAAAACAAAGCTCTTGCTGGTCTCCTGTGCCCAAGAGTGGCCGCCAGTGGAAACAGACCTGCCGTTCTAAATCTGTTTTTGTTTCTTTCGTCTTCCAAGGAAGCTGTAGATGAGCACACGCCCTTCCAGGCCTAGAAGGGAACAGCTGCCACTGAGTGGCTTGCCTCTTTGCACAAGGGACTCAGCTCAGAGCTTCCGCTGACCCTGGCAGGTCCCCCTGACACTCCTCCTGGGAATGAAGTGGACCAGGTAAGTGAATGAACCTCAGCTTCTCTCGTCCTTCTTTTCACAGAGTGAGAAGACGGAGAGAAGGAGGCTGTAGCAGCTCAGGCCCAGGAGCCCTCCCAGCAAATGGCCCAGAGTAGAAAATTCTCCACACGATGTTGCTGCTGGCCACCCAGTGAAAAGTCCATGGCCCTGTCAGCCACCTGTCCTGCTAATGCTGTGAGTGAAGAATCCACAGATCAGCTGGAAGGAGGAACGTTTGAGTTTGAAAATGCCCAGAATCATTCGTGAACTGACAAGGCTGACCACCTGCACTTTAAAAATACACCGGTACTAGCCTTGTAAACCAGACTTTTAGACTTCTTACTGGCGTCATGAAAGATCTTTTTTGATACATAGGCAACAGGATGATTTTTTAAAACAAAAATGAACATATTCCATTTTATTGATCTTTACCAAAAAAAAAAAAAAAAAACTAACTGGAAAACAGGAAATAGTTACTAGTAATGTTTTCTTTCTTTCTTTCTTTCTTTCTTTCTTTCTTTCTTTCTTTCTTTCTTTCTTTCCTTTCTTTCTTTCTTTCCTTTCTTTCTTTCTTTCTTTCTTTCTCTTTCTTTCTTTCTTTCTTTCTTTCTTTCTTTCTTTCTTTCTTTCTTTCTTGAGACAGAATCTTGCTCTGTCACTCAGGCTGGAGTGCAGTGGTGCGGTCTCAGCTCACTGCAACCTCTGCCTCCCAGGTTCAAGCCTCGGCCTCCCCGGTAGCTGGGATTACAGGTTCCCCACCCCCCCGCCCACCTCGCCTGGTTAATTTTTGTATTTTTAGTAGAGACGGGGTTTCACCATCTTGGTCAGACTGGTCTCAGACTCCTGACCTCATGATCCACCTGGCTGGGGCCACCCAAAGTGCTGGGATTACAGGGGTGAGCCACCACGCCCAACCAACAGTAACATTTTCATAGCACCAAAGGAAGAATCTACGTTTCTTCGTTTTTATAGATTTTTCTGTAGATGTCTTAAGAAGCATCGAACCCCTTATACAGTTGGGTAAATAAAACACAGTAAGCTTGGGATTTGCCAATCAGATTGGAGCCAGATAAGGATGAAGGCTGGCGCTGGCTTGAAGTCTGACTAATCTTGGGCAACCTGCTCAGCCTATTACTCACCTGACCGTCGACATCAGAGCAGCTCCTCCCCAGAGACAGCTAGAAGATGCTGAGATAATCTGTGTAAAAGCCAGCAAGCCTTTTGGGAAGGATACCAGCAAATGCAAGGCGTGTGCTCTGAAGTTTTATCGTCCTATCAGATGAGCCTGTCTCCAACCCCAGTGAGCTGACTGAGAGACGGGCCTGAGTGCTGAGCTCAGATTGCAGCATCTTTTCACAGCAGACCCCGGGCCAGCCCCGGGAGCACGTGATAATGAGCTGTCCTCTGGTTTCCCAAGACTTCAAAACCGAAAGCCGGTGATCAAGAGCTGTGTGGCCTTGAATGTGGCAGGAGTTAAAGCCAGCACCCAGTGAAAGTCAGTGAGGACAGCACTTCACGGTTTGGGGACCCTCTCTGCTCTGGGTCCATTGGCTGTTCACACTCACTAATCCCGGTTCCTTTTCTGTTTCACCTGGGTCCTGCCTGCCCATCCTGGGAAGCCATGGCAGCTGTTGGGATGCGGAGAATTACTACGGGGATTGAAAGATTCACTCATGTCTCAAATTCCATGGCCTTTCTCCTCTCCAGCCCAATTTTTTCCCTTATTGAGAGAGACTGCTTTCCCAGCCCTTCTGCCATGCCAGTATGTGTGCGTGTTGGGGGGCAGGGGTGTATTTAGGGAGGAGGAGAATGTCCTCAAGTCTGGGAACTTGGAACCCTCTGCCTGGCCCTCTTTGCAGAAAAACGAGGGAGTCCCAGCAGACAGAAGCGCGCAGCGGCACTGAGCTCCCGGAGCTGACTCATGACCTCAAAACCCTCAACAGATTCAGTCCTCGCTCCCAAACAGGCCCAGTAAGCAATGAAAGAGTTCTGTCAGACACTCAAGAACCGGATTATTGTCCTTCCTGGCTCATTAGGAGCCTGGCTGCCCTCATGTCGGCCGCTCGGGGCCCTGGGGGCCACCCAGCGCAGCCTGCAGCTGCCTTTCCTTCAGGGGCCAGCACGATCCCTTCCCCTGGAGAATGCTGCAACCCCTGGTCGCATATACATCTAACAGGCCGGGCCTTAGGGCTTCCGAAACGGATGACTGTCAACCCCAACCCTGCCCACCCACATCCACAGCTTCACCCCAAACTCACACACAGAGAACCTCGAGTCCCATCGGCCCGCTCAGGTCCCTTGCCAGCTGGAGCCGCTCTGGAGCCTGGCTGGACTCCAGCTGCCATGCTCAACAGGACTTAGCAGGGACGCTGTCACCCTCCTGCCTTCCCTCTTCTGCCGACCGGTCACTTCCAGGACGGAGTATTTGAGAGAAAATTGTCTAGACAATTACACTGTTCCTTAGAACGGTCTGCGTGGGCACACGTGCCACTTGTTTAACCAGCATGAGAGGGGGTGGCTTGGCTAGGGCAGACATTCAAGACCAACCAGAAATATCATTGCATGGTGGAAGAAGAATGTGTGATACATCAGAACCTGGGCATCTCCTTCCTAACACGCCCTCAGGATCAAGCCTCCCCTACTCAGCCTGGCAGGGTTGCAGGGCGTCCCTAGTCCAGCCCCACGCCTCGCCTGCTCTCTGCTCTGGGTCCATTGGCTGTTCACACTCACATCCCTGTGCCCTGGAACTGCCTGATTCTTGTAGATTACTAAAAATCTACAGCTCATTCCCTCCTGTGCTCTGATCACCCGCTCACAGCGACTGTATCCTCTAAGCCACTACCTGGCGGTTGTCCCCACACTGCTTTGGGCTCTTCTGATATTGAGCAACTCAGCTTCTCGGCCTTCAGGTTGCTATGGGCCCTAGATGCATGCCGGTCGATTCTGAGCAACAAGCAACTGCTTCCGTTTGTTTTCTTTTTCCTACAATTGAAGCTGTGGGTGATTCGGGAGGTCAGTCGGTGGACTGCGGAGCTGCATGGGTCAAGGAGCACAGCGTGGAACGACGGACAATTTGCTATGACTTGGAGATAAGAGGCAGTGAAGCCACTGCTGATGGAAGAAGGTGGCTTTCCTGGAAGGTCAAGACATTTGCTTGAGAGAGATGTCCAGCAGGGCTGGGGAGAGTTCTGCTGGAAGGGAGGGCAGCACCCAGGGGTGGCTGAGGGAACTGGGCTGGGCTGGGAATGCTTCCAGCCCTTTCAGTTGTGATTCAGTGATTATGAGATGTTTGGCCTTGAAAATTGTAAGATTAAATCTCTTGGTGGGAATGTGTAGCCAAAAGCCAGCATCCTTAGTAGCTTCGAGGTTTGGGGACCCTCTCAGGGCATGAATCCCCTCTCTTTTTCTAATTTGAAAATTGCTGTGGGCGATTCTGGAATTCAGAAGTGTGCTGGGAATCACGGATTTAACATGACAAGCATTTCTGCCCCTTCCTCACTGAGCCCACCGCGGATGCTCCGGGGCCAGGGACTTACTTGGGCTTCTGTGTGTCTTCCACAGTGTGTACCAATCCGCCTGGCTGTGGTTGGTGCTTAATAAAAAGATCGCAGCGAAGGAATCTGGTGTGGACGAATGCCTTGGTCGTGGACAAGAAGCCTGGCCCCTGTGTCCCTGGCAATGGGACAGTGATGGACAGAAAGGCAGCACATCTGACGGTGTCAGGAGCTTGGAGCAGGCATTCGGAAGCATCTGCTAAATGGTACCGATAGAGGACTGGTAGACACATAACCCACATCTGCATAGCTTTTTTGGTCTTTTCTTCGGAAGTGAAGAGTCACGAACAAAACCAACTTTGGTTCAGGTCATTTGATAGGCTCAGATCCTCTATCCTTAGAGGTTTTCCAACAGATACACCATTTCACTATCCATGCCAGGAAACTTACATAACACTATGGCAGAATTTTACCTGACAATGAAATAGACCTTTTTTGTTAGATCCTCCGCTCCACCTAAAGAAGTTACACAAGCGGAAATGAAATTGTTAAAGGAATGAACTGACTTGAGGATAGAATCATTGCCTTTGCTGAACAACATTTTAAGGATATAGGAATATATAGGGGTATTAGCATCATAGTAAAATGTGCCCATATTATCTGCAATTTTATACTGGACTTTTTAAGAAATTATTTGTATAGCTTTGCCTTTGACGTGACTTGGTTACAAGTTCACTGCATTAAGTTTACAACTGGTTTTGATTTATTGGCTTTCATTGTGTATTATTAGGAAACCCTGCAGAGAGAAAATGTAAACTCCAAATTGCTTTAAAACATTATGATATTGTTTAGGAAAATTATACTGTAACAGTGAATGAAACGGACATAACGTTCCATTTTGTAGACATTGTGTGAAACCATTATTAGTCTTGATTTTCTTTGGAACAATTTATTCCTGTTCTGGGCTGAAGTATAAACACTCTTTGCCCTGTGACCCTGGCCCAAGGCTCCTCTTGGATCAAATGACCTTTCCTTTGAGGGCAAAGTCACAGGAACATGATGTAACGAAATCTAAATAGAAAGGTATTGATTTGTTCTTTGTTCATCAAATAGTTATTGGACTGCAGCAAGTGTGAGTAGCAGGGAGCCTGGCTAGCACTATAGCTTCCCCAGCTGCCTCTCAGAGTTGCAGCCGCAGGCACACACAAAGCCAGGGAAAATGAGGGCCTAGGGAGGCTGGTCCCAGAGGCTCCAGCCCTTCTCTCCCAATCCTCTCCCTGAGTGGGTGGAAGACTCTCCTCCTGGCTCTTCCAATCTGCCATCAGTGTCTGCCCTTGGATCTGGTCTTAAACTCCAAGGTGTAAATGACTCGTAATGGCTCAACATTTTGTCCCTCCCAGGAGGCACTTTTAAGTCTAAGGAATAAAGATTTAACAGTAAAACTCCAAATGCTAATCAGGGGCAAATGAGGATTTGGAGGAGGAAGGTCTTGAGCATTTTCCTTACACTCCTAAAGTCATCCTATTGAGTTAGGGCAAGAACTATCCTGATGGATTGGGTATGATAGAAGTCGATGTTTCAATGGCTAGCTGGATGGATGGATAGATGCATGGATGGATGGATGCATGCATGGATGGATGGATGGATGGATGGATGGATGGATGGATGGACAGATGGATGGATGGATAGATGGATGGATGGATAGATGGATGAATGGATGGATGGATGATCAATGGATGGACGGATGGATGGATGAGTGGATAGACGGATGGATGAACAGATGGATGGATGAATAAATAAATAGACGGATGGATAGCTGGATGGATGGATAGCTGGATGGATAAACGGACAGATGGATAAACGGATGGATGGACAGATGGATGGATGGATGAATGGACAGATGGATGGATGAACAGACGGATGGATGAATAGATACATGGATGGATAGATGGACAGATGGATAGATGGATGGATGGATGGATAGATGGATGGATAGATGGATGGATGGATCAATGGATGGGCGGATGGATGGATGAGTGGATAGATGGATGGATGAACAGATGGATGGATGGATGAATAAATGGATGGATGGATAGCTGGATGGATGGATAGCTGGATGGATAAATGGACAGATGGATGGACGGATGGATGGATGAATGGATGGATGGACAGATGGATTGATGGATGAGTGGACAGATGGACGAATGAACAGATGGATGGATGAATGGATGGATGAATAGATGGATGGATTGATGGATGGATAGATGGATGGATGGATGGATGGACGGATAGATGGATGGATTGATAGATGGATGGTTAGATGGGTAGATCACCTTTATTCTGATGTCAACTGGTCTTTGAAGCTTGATTTATTTTTTGACTTCTCATGTAGCCAGGCTAGGGTCTGACACATTATGAAGTTGACAAAATGTCTGTTAGATTCTGGATTCAAAAGCCCTGTGTTCTTGGGTTTGAGATTGTACTTTCTGACATGAGTGAATCGCAAATCAGACTTCAGAGATGGTTACTTTTCCAGCAAGAGAACAGCCCTGAAACTTGGCCAGAGCACTGGTGTCCCGGTGCTGCTATAACAACAGTGCCACATGCTAGAAGGTTTGAGACAGCAGCCATCTGTCTGTTGTCTCGCAGTTCTGGAGGCCAGGATCCAAAACCAAGATGCCAGCAGGGTTGTGCTCCTCTGAGACTGGGTAGATGCCATTCTGGCCTCCTCCGGCTTCTGCTGGTGGCCAACATCCTTGGCATTCCTTGATTTTCAGCATGACCGCTCTGATCTCTGCCTCTTTCATCACACGGTGTTCTCCCTGCACGTCTCTCCTCGCGTGCTGTTCTCTTCTCATAAGGCTAGCTGCCAGATTAGATTAGGGCCCACTTTAATGGCCTCGTCTTAACTTGATGACATCTGCAAAGTCTCTTTTTCCAAATAATAGAGACTTTGGAAATAGATACTTCCCAGATGTCAGTAGGGCTTCAATAATGCATTTTGAGGGACAGACTTTACCCCCTGACAGTTAGCCATGTGTGTACGTTACAGTTGCCACTATTTCTCTTACATGGAATGAGACTGTGATTTACTTTTTTTATTGATGGAGTCTTGTTCTGTCGCCTAGTCTGGAGTGCAGTGGTGCGATCTCTGCTTACTGCAATCTTTGTCTCCTCAGTCTCCCAAGTAGCTGGGATTAGAGACACACATCACCATGTCTGGCTAATTTTTGTATTTTCAGTAGAGATGGGGTTTCACCATGTTGGCCAGGCTGGTCTTGAACTCCTGACCTCAGTAATCTGCCCACCTCGGCCCCCCAAAGTTCTGGAATTACAGGGGTGAGCCACCGTGCCCGGCCAAGACTCTGATTTTCATTAGGAACAGAGGGATCCTGCCTGTCACCAGGGCTACCTGAAAACAGGTTAATCAATAGAGCAAGAAGCTGCACTAGTGACTGCAGCGGTCAAGTTCATTTCCAAATAGAGAATAAAAGCAGCATGCCCTCCCAGTCCTCTGCCCTGTTCTGCTTTCTGTCTAGGGACACCCTCTCATCCTCAGACAAGTGACAATGAAGTGACAGTAAGGGCAAACCAAGCCACTGCCCAAAAATTTCACCGCTTACCTTGGAGAAGCTCTCATTTCCCATCAGATATAAATGAAAAATCAGAGACGAATCTGCTGGGAAATGAGAGTTCCATTTCTTTTTGCTGTTGTTGTTGTTTTAAAGTTGCCAAGCTTTATTTAGGTTGTAATGGTTACAGGTAACACACATGTAACCCTGTATTCCGTGTCTCCCGTGCGGTCCCCTGAGCAGGCTCTGCGACCCTTTCCCTCAGTCTTACTTCTTATCTTTCCCCTTCTTGTCCTTCTTGCCATCCTTGGTGGCCTGGGAGGCCAGGGAGCCCAGAGCACTTCGAATGGCTTCATTGTTGGGATCCACACCTGGGAGATTCTCCAGGACACTCCGAAGGAACTTGGGGTTCTTCATCACGTCGTAATCATCCTCCTTCTTGGCTGGCTCAGATGTGTCCGTGGCTGAGCTGGCATCAATGTCTGCTGATTCCACCTGGCCAAACTGCTCCTTGCAGGGACATCTGCATGGCATGAGCAATCTGCTCCTCCTCAGTCATACTGCTTAGGTCAGGAAGCCCAGTATGGCCAACCTCTTGCTGGCTGGCGGTCATCTTCAGCAGGGCGTTGTCTGAGTCTTCAGTCCCAGTTGTAGCAATCCTGGCCAGGTGGGGTGGGAATCCCACCAGATCTTGGGGTAATCACCATGGTGGGCTTGGTCACACCTGAGAGCCCCCAAGGGCAAGGACCTTAGTCCCTGATCTTCTGCAGGAACATCAGCTGGATGCGAAAAACTCCATCTCAAAAAAATGG